TCGGCAATGTTGGTCCGTTGCGGTGGAGTGCTGGTTGTCATTAGTACTTTTGGGGATGTAGAAGAAAATCCAGGTCCCGAGACTGCTGAATTGTTGCACCAAATTTTAGATAACCAGAAAGAATCTGATGAGAAGATAAACGCAATTAGAAAAGAAATTGCTGAAATAATGAAAAGTCGGAAGGAATGAACAGCTATCTTAATGCCATGCAGGATATGCAAAAGAAAATCGAAAGGTTAGAAAATATAGTCCAGCAACAAGCAGAACGACTAGTGGATTATGAAAACAGAAGCCGAAGAAATAATCTACTCGTGTTTGGGGTTCCCGAGGCCAGAAATGAGGTCGAGGCAGATTTGCACGATGCCGTTATTGATAACATTTTCAGAAGCAAGCTAGAGTTAGACGTTAAATCGGTAGAAAGAATTCATCGATTAGGTAAACAAAGACAAGACAAAGCAAGACAGTAATTATGAAATTCATGGATAACCGTGAGAAGGAGAAGGTAATGCGTAATTGCAAGAAACTAAGGGCTACTTCTTTCAGTATCAGTAACGATTACTCAAAAGAAACAGTTAAACTAAGAGTTAAACTATGGGAAAGTTTAGCGCCTGACCGAGCTAAGGGAGCGAGGGTCTCAATGATGCATGATAAACTGAAGATAAAAGGGAGCGTGTTTGTCTCGGATGATCAAAAAAATGAACCCCGTCTTTTTCAATACTGGAGTGACAAGATTGATAGCAAAGTTGAAGCGACGTCAGTATCGAGTGCGCATGACCGAAATGAATTTTTTTACTCTGACAGCTCTGCTGGTAGTTCAAAAAATCAATACCAATCATAGCTACGAGTTCTTGTCCAAAATGCTCGTAGCATCGAAAATAAAGTTACAGAATTAGAATATCTTTTATTGGCACATAGTCCCCATTTTGTATTATTAACAGAAACATGGCTACGCGATGAAATATGCAGTGATTGCATTATTTCTCCAGGATACAAGCTTTTCAGATGGGACAGAGATGACACTTCTATCATAAATTTTCTCGAGCTTCACTTTAATGATTTCGAGCGAGCATCACATTTCGGATCTGCGAAGCAATTGTGGCAGAGATATAAGGCCAACGTTGTAACTTGCGTTGATCGCTTTGTCTCTACTCGTATTGAGAAAGCACCTAAACGAAATCCCTAGATAACAAGCAGCATTATACATAATATGAAACGGCGAATTAAGAGATTAAGGAAAAGTAAAAAAAGAGCGACGAAAGTTGCAGCTATAAAAATCAAGTTAAAAGAAGCTCTTGCGAATTCCAAAAAAAAAAAAAAAAGTTCTTTGGCCAAACGCTTATGAACTTCCTTGAAAGTTCGCCATCCCAATTATGGCGTTACTTCAGTGACAGGAAGGAAAGAATTGAGCAAATCGAACACGAGGGTTGTATCCTAACAAAAGTTGAAGACTTGGCCGATACTTTTAATCTCTTCTTTCAGTCTGTTTTCACAATAGAGCAGGGCAGTAAGATAGGGGCATCCATCAGTAACAATGCAACAACCGCAATTGAACCTGTTACTATCAACCACGAAGGTGTTTTTCAGTTACTGCTTGAGCTAGATACGAGGGAAGGAAGTGGTCCGGATAACCTACCAACAGAGTTTCTCAAGAGATATGCAGAATGGGTCTCCTTTTATTTAGAATAATATTTATGAAATCGGTTGAGACACGATCACTTCCACAAGACTGGCGTAATGCAGTTGTAATTCAGATTTTTAAAAACGGTAACCATTCGTTAGTAAACAATTACCAGCCCGTATCCTTGACGTCGGTTTGTTGTAAAATTCTGGAACATCTAATAACAAAACATATTCTTAGTTTTCTTGATGCTAACCAGTTACATTGCGCAGGCCAACATGGGTTTCGGCATGGTCTTTCTACTGTGACACAATTAGCTGAAACGCTCCATGATTTCAATAAAAACAGTGATGCCCTTCTGCAGACTGATGTAATTTATTTCGATTTTAGGAAAGCTTTTGATAAAGTCTCTCATCCTAAATTACTTTTCAAGGCCTGAAAGATTAGGAATAAGCGAAGAAGTATTAAAATGGATAGAGGCCTATTTATCCGCACATCAACAGGCTGTAAAAATTGAAAATTACACTTCAAGACCACTGGCCGTGTACTCGGGCATTCCCCAGGGATCTGTTTTAGGACCAATTCTGACCAATTCTTTTTCTGATATTTGTTAATGATCTATGTTCAATAGTTGATGCTCCTATTAAAATGAAACTTTTTGCAGATGACTGCTCGATTTATTCCCCAGTTACTTGCGAAGGCGACCAAATTAATCTGAACAGGCACCTACATGCATTAGATCAGTGATGTATAATATGGGACATGGAAATAACCTATAGCAAGATGACATTTACACATATTCACTCTAGTGGGTGGGAATTATCATTCATGTATCACATCGGAAGTCACCCTTTAAACAATGCCACTTGTTTCAAATACCTAGGAGTTAGTATTATGCACACATTGAAATGGCATTCACATATCAATAAAATCTGTTCTAAGGCAAACAAAAAACTATTTCCTAAAGAAAAAACTGGAACATGCCACACCGGATGTAAAACTAGCTCCTCACAAAACATTCATACGTCCTGTCTTAGAGTACGCTAGTATTGTGTGGTCGCCTCACCAGAAGGTGTTATGGACAAAAATTGAAAGAATACAAAAATTAGCAGTCTGTTTCATATGCGGTAGATACCGACGCACACACTCAGTCACAGCTTTGTTAAAGTCCTGTGAGCTTGAGTCTTTGGAATATTGCAGGCGCAAACATCACCTCAAATTTTTTTTTAAGATTGTAAGCGGGCAAACAAAATAAATAAGGATTTATATCTTCAGCCCCCTGGAAGGCGATGTGATCGTCTTAATAATAGTAGAGCAATTCAACCTTATTTCACATGCACAAACGCTTTCCGCCACTCATTTTTTTCCCAGACACAATAGATATGTTGAATAGTTTACCCAATGCGGTTGTGCAACAAACAACATCAGTGAATTCGGAAAATGCATTAGACGGTTTTCTTTGTAGTGATGTGTGCTAAATTATGTTGTGAGCATTTATTAGTTGATTTTTATGTGTATAGTCACTGTTGTTTGTTATTTTTCTGTTGTTGGTTATTCATCTCGTATTTCTATGTGCTTTTGAATTTTTCTTTTTTATGCAAACGTTATGTACTTTGCGACACCCTCGCTGTAATGACCCCAAGCACGGGATTGACAGTATCAAATAAATAAAAAATAAAATAATTGTGGGTTTTTATGCCCAAAACCGACACGATAATGAAAGATGCCATAGTGAAGGGCCCCAGAAATTTTCATCATCTCGTGTTCCTTAAAGGGCCCCTGCCACCAAAAATTGAAACCTCAAGACATTTTGTGTTACAAGATTCGCCAGTATACAGTGAGCTCTTTTGGCCATTCGTTAGTGGTGAACATTGGCACTTTAATTTGGCTTTAAAGCGAGCGTGAGTGCTCATATGAATTGGCAGCACCTCGCGACATCACCGCGTATATGATGTAGACAAAGGCACAATTGGTTTACAAGAAAAGAGTATTGTCAATGTTGCACATGATTCAAGAGGTGCACACAATGATTTGTCAACTGGAACACCCTCAACTTCTGTTGTCGTACTGCTCTCAAGGTAGCTTCCATCGCTTACAGAGAATCCCTGTTCTTTTTCCATAGGGGACATGCGCTTAACAGCCTAACTCGTATCAAAGACCCGCCATCATTTCATTCTTTACTGCGTGCAGGGCCGCCGTGATTTGAGAAGTGCGCTGTCAATGTCATCAGAGCATGAGCACATGTGCTCTTGGGCACTAACGCCTGAGGAAGCACTAGTTTCTTACACTAGTTCAGCAAGCGTTTCAAAGTGATGCTAAGATTGGTCACAATTAACGATATAGCACTAATGAGTTAGATCGTGTATGATACATTAAAACATTTACGATTAGATTTGGCATTACTTGACCCGAGGTTATATATAAATTACAGTAACGAATTTGCAAACAAAACTTTCGCTGTCAGGGCTCTTTCATGACATGCTTAGATCCGAGTGAATGGGCCACTAGCATTTTGCATTCGTGGAAATGTGGCCATTATAAACGGGATTTGAACCAACAGCCTTCAGGGCCAGCAGTTAAACAGAACAACCACCAAACTACTATGGCGTGTTGTCTTTTAGCAGCAAAGCTGTGTAAGCAGGATGTAGCAACTTTGGTGTGTGCAGAAAACCACAAGCGGGTATTTACCACAGGTATTGCACATGCCCTGCTATTGAGCACAGCAGGTACAAGCATTAAACAAAAACTTTTGATCAGCAAAGTGGCACACATAAAACACATGAAAGAGAGAGGGAAAAAAGGGAGAAGGAAAGAAATTAAGAGAGAGGAAGGGATAGAAAAAAAAAAGAGAAGAAACGGTGAGAAACGAAGCGAATAAAGACAAAATATTGCAAGAAAGAAATACACAGAAAAAGAGAACGAAACAGACACAAAAAAGAATAAAAAACATACAGAAAAATAAAAAAGGAAAGAGGAAAATTAGAAACAAACAAATAGAAAGAAGCAAATAGAGAAAGAAAGGAAAGAGAGAGAAATAACTTTAAATAGAGTGTGAACGCAAGAAAAATAGGTGGGAAAGAAATCTAAAGCAACGGGTAAAAAATCAAATACACGAAAGAGCAAAAATAGAACAGATACAAGAAACGATGCGAAATAAAAAGAAAGAGAACGAACAGGAAAGTCAAGAGAAAGAAGGAAACTCGGCTCAACTTTTTTTCCCGAGGCCTGGCACCACTCATGAGAACATGGCATAAGTTTCTTCTACCAATTAGCCGTACTATTTCTCGAGAGACACTGTTTTCCATTACTTCTTTCTTTTCTTCCCATTCCGCGCACTAGGAGCTTTCGCATGTTGCAGAAATAAGAAAGTGGGTGTGCTCACAAAAGGTGGCCTTGTGAAGACCGCGTCCATTAGGGTCAAATACCATAACCCTGTCCTGAGAAGTATCAGCAACGATTATGTTCCCAGATGCTGTGGCTGTAACGCCGATTGGGAAGGCCAACTTTGAGTTTTTGTAGGCATCGAACTCGAGTGACAACTTGGCACTGATTGTTCCTGAAATGAGAAAAACCAAGGGGGCATTAGTAGTATTAATAGTAGTAAAAGTATTAGTACATGAGCAAGTAGATGGTTAGCTAATAGAAAAAAATCTTCAATTTAAAAGAATCTGATAGTATCGTATACTTGACATCCTGCATTATGATTGGATTTTCAAGATATCTGCAGAACACGGCAATAACAGGGAATAGAGCTATGCAGGAAAAGGTGCTGCAGACACAGTAGAAAGAAGAATAAACAAACCTTTATTCTGGATAACAATGCAATGCTTACCTGAAAAACTAACAGGCTTTTTCTTGCAAGTTGAAAGTGGTGAAACCTTTGCACTCCGCCTTGTGGATGAGTCAGGAGCAATGGCTGTCACAACGTACGTTGGCTTCAGGGGCTCTCTCACGCATATTCCAAAATCTGCAGAACTTGGTGTAATGCAGCTGACCATACTTTTTTTTTTTAGCAATACACATATCTCATCCAAATTAAAAAGTGGCCATTAAAACTCACCGGAGTATGAAGGAGATGAGCCTGGCTTGTCATAAAGCAGAGATGAACTGCTCAGAGAAGCTTCTTCATTCAAGGCAACAAGAGAACGTTGGAAACCCCCCCCAGAAGAACTCTGTTCTTTGGAGCTTGCCATACTTTGTGTAAATCCATTTTGAGGGCTCTTTTGGCCATTCAAAATGCCAGAGTTTGTTGCGACCGCCACCTGGAGAGGGGGCTCGATTGGAGTGAAAAACCTACTAAAAGCATTGTTCGCATGCGGTTCAGGAATTTCTCTGGAGAGGTTAGAGGAGCTCGGTCCTGCCACAGTTGACAATAAGGTTGGTAATACTGGCTGCAGTTCATTCGTGGATGCCAAATCAACCTCGTTGTAATGCTCAGGAGGATATGAAACCGGAAGGTCTTCTGCAACAGCACGTTTGGTCATGTTGCGATAAGTGGCGCTCCCCACTGCAGGACCGCGAATGTTTGCAGCCACTGCTCTATCACTGAAGCCAGGTACCATGCTTAGATCATTGTGATGCTCTTCAGGAGCAAGATCTGAAACCCGAAGGTCTTCTGAAATAGCAACTTTGGTCATATCGGCATATGTAGCATTCGCCGCGGCCGCACAGCGAATGTTTGCAGCCACTGCTGCATCAGTGAAGCTAGCTACCATGCTTTGGCCTTCATCCGCGGCGTCTGAGGATCCAGCATGAATCGGCAGCACCTCGTGCCCCACTGCACTCTGGTGAACAGTTATCCGCTGTGGGCTTCCACTGATGTCCCGGTCGTACAGCGCCACGCGGACTTCGTAAGTTCCTTCCCGGCACACCGAAAACTCCAACAGATACATGCCATTCATGAGATCAGCATTCGACACTTCTATCTCTTCCTCGCCTGCCCCACGACTTACACGAGCTGTGATGTAGCGCATCAGACACGGGTCGCAGCCCTTCGCCGACAGGTAGTAAATTTTCACCACACTTCCGACGCGGTACACGTGCTCTTCATAGTTTTCTATGAAGTGCATGGTGTGCGGTAAGGCAGCAGAGCCGCGGATGTATGCAAAGGACTCGCAGGCGAAACCCTGCACGCGTTTCACTTCGAACGTGAACAGTGAGAGCAGCGAGTCCGAATAGCCCGACTTGGCCGACTCGTCTCCTTGCGCGGCGACCCGTGCCTCCCGGGTCACTGCGTCCAAAATACGTAATTTGTTGTCGAGCGTACTTCTAACTTTGAAAACAAGCTCTTCGCGCAAACGGTGCAGCTCTCTATCCACCTGGGACAGCACTTGGTCTTCCTGAATTCGTAGCATCGTACTGAGGGCTGCCACTTTGTCTTGGTATTCGTGCTCCGAGTCGCCGGGTTCGGGTAGTAACTGTTTGCACACGTCAAGCAATAACTTTTCATCTTGCAGAATTGTCAGGATTTCTTCGTCGCCCGGGACGCTGAGGCCGGCCATATCTGTAACCTGCGAAGGTTGAAATAAAAAAAAAAAATGCACGATTCCATCCACTTATATTAAGTTCAGTAGGCTTAAACGTTCAATGCAAATGCTCGCGTACTGCATTGCTTGCACGCTCTGTGCAGCATAAACTGATAAACAAAATCGAGCTTACCAACTTTACGTTACCAGAGTGCGTTCAGAGGCGTGCACAACAGGCCGGCACAGTTCTCACGCAAGCAAACGAAAGCGTCTGCGACGCGCTTTTGCACTCACCTCCAGTTGCTAAATGTCCCAATGTACATACACTTTCGAATGCTGAAAAATCGAACGAACCAGCTCGTTCTGACGCGCAGTGCGTTCTCAGCCTTCAAAAAATAAAAAAATAATAAAAGCGGACCACCGCAGACCATCTATTTTATAGCACTAAACGCCGAACTATCGCACAACCGACTGAACTGAACGACAGCCCTCTTGCGGTGACGACTCACGTGACTGCTCTCGCGGACTAACGTAATTTCCACGTATCAAACGTGCGTGACCTGCGGCATAATCCACAACATTACCCACAGAAAAAAAAGAAAGATCCATAGCGTTTCCTGTGTCATAAATCGAGGTTGTGGGCCTCTACGACTATTCACTGACGCTTTGCTGGAGCTGCTCGCAGAGGCCACGCTGTGGAATGTAGCGGTTGCTGCGGCCTAGCCGCCGCCTGGCGGTGGTGGTGTCGTGCTGCTGGCGTCTGCTTTGGACCACGACCATAGAGTTTGGAAACTGTGACAACGACCTCCTCGTCGCGGTCCAAACTAGTTTTACAGTAGTTCTTGAGAAGAGGAAAAATGCACCTAATTTCTGCAGTCCTTCAGGAAGCACGGCGCAGTGCCTTGTAGGGGGAGGAAGGATAGAAGAAAATAGGTGAAGAGATAGAGAGGGCAAGCGACGAGAAAAGAATGAGAAGGGAAAGTTTGTAGCTGGCCGAAAAAGTCCAAAGACGAGGCGCCACTCGGTGAAAGCTTCACGGCGTCAGGAGATCGTGGAGGGCACAACTGTTCATCTTGAATTTCTCTGAGCAACTCCAGGACTAGGGAGCCTAGTGTAACCGTATACATGACTCTTAAGAGAACCGTGCAGCTCTCTACTTTGTACCGCAGCAGTGGCCGATTGGTTAGACCGCCCGCGTCCGAAGCGAGAGGCACTACATTACATACGTAATGACTTATGAGTTTCATTTCCAGTGCCATCGGGCAAACTCCCGTTTCAAATGCGAATGCATTTGTTAGCCGGGCTATGTCAGGCGTCCGTCAGGATCCGTCCACCACCCTCTCCCATAAGAACTGAAGCGCGCGCGCCCCTAGCAACCAGAGCCCCCACCCATGGCCTCCGAAAGTGCAGGCGTGTGGCGTGGTTCTCTCCGGCCGTCTCAGTTGCCGCGCTCCCCAGCAAAACCAGCGAATCTCGCCTCATGCGCCCAGCTACCGCTAGAGGGCGCGTTTAATGTGAGGTTTAGGGACAATGAGGGCAAAATAGACTTTAAGCGGGTAGAATTAACTAGAAGAATGTTATCTGATTGCTGGCTAAAGTCAAGGCACGAGCGAAAACTAAACCCTTGACTGCAAAGTACCAGTCTTCAACTTCACTATATAATGAAAAAAAAAAGATAAATGTGGTTTTTGGTTCACTAAATATTGCGGCTAGGTGGCATTAGCCGCCACCTGATCTAAAGGGTACAGCCATATCAATACATCCATCTATCCTAGAGCAGCAGAGATCACGGCAGAAAGCAGCAGAGCGCGCGGGATTTCAGCGTGCGTATGTCTTCTTTTTTTTTTTCTCGCGTGCGAGCAAAAATAACCGGGAAATCTTCTGGCTGCACTTAAGAAAAGTATTTTTTTTTTCTGTTACTGCTCTTATTTCGGTCCGATTGGCGAATAACAGCATGACAACGGCTGAATTTTTCTTATATAGATCATTGCAAGGAGGTATTTCGTCTGTGACAGAACCATTCAAGCATTCCTCCTTTCTGGAATGCTTCGGGTGAAAACTGGGCCAATCATCGTCGTTGAATTACATTGCCCTTCTATCTTTAGAGATCATACTACTATTTTATCGCGTATCAATATTTATCAGGGGGTCAACCGAATTCCATTTACGCTCTAGATAATTAAGTGTCGTGATTGTGCCACTTATTATTGTGATGAGTTTTTTTTTTTTGCAACGCAAAAAAAAAAACAGTGCAGGCCGCATATGTGCTCAGTGACTCCGACCTTAACCGATACTCTCTGCGGGTGCCATATTGAACCACCCTGTGCAGCCCCTATAGGTGATGAAACTTGCGAATAGGGAAGACCAGTTGTGGTTGGCACGGCTGGATGGCCAGCATGTTAACCTACGAAGCGAAGAACGATGAAAAAACGTCGTGGCGCAGCTGTGATCACATTAAGGGCGTCTGGAAGAATTATCGAAACAGCGTTGCCATAAAAAACCGCACTAGTTCAATGAAAGCAAGAATCCATTCAATCGATAGTAAAAAGTAATCCATGGACGTTGAACGCTGCAGTCGTCTGAGCTCGCTTGCAGATCGGGCTGCAATTTTTCTTTCTTCTTCGCCGGTGTCCCCCCCCCCCCCTCCTTCTATACAGCTCGCGAACTTCGAAGTATAGTTTCGAGCACTTGCGGACCTCTTGCAGAGGCATCGCAATTTTAAATGGTCTAATGTGGGCGGCGCCACTCTACAGCAAGATAAAAACCCCATTAGAAAATAAAACGCCCCAGCATTGACTTTGCCCCTCGTACTCCTTGACCCTACATTCCCGAATGAGCACGAAGCTAGATAAAAGCGAAAAGCCAATTTTTCTCGTCACATAGAAGCTTCACCAACAGCGCGGCAGCCTTTTGGATGGATGGATGGATGGATGGATTGATATGGCTGTACCCTTTAGATTGGACGGCGGCTAACGCCACCTAGCCGTAATACTTAAAGAACCAACAACTAGATTTATCTTTTTTCCCCTTTAAATAGTGAACTTGAGGACTGGTACTTTGCAGTGAAGGATTGAATTTTCCCTCGTGCCTTGATTTTAGCCACCGATCAAATAACCTTTCTTCTAGTTATTTCTATTCGCTTAAAGTCTATTTCGCCCTCGCTGTCCCTAAACCCAAGTGCTTTGGAAAACTCTGCGCCATCATCTAGACTATAGGGTGAAGCCCTTTACAGAACATTATCAGGTGTTCGTCAGTTTCCTCCTCCTCTCCCCATCATGCACTGCATACCGTGCCTACCCCTTCGCATTCGGCCCGATATGTCTTGGTCGTTGAAGTATATATAAACATACTGCAAGAAATCCACAGGGGATCAACTGCTACCATAGTGCTTCATTAAAAAAAGCAACAGAATACCAATCAAGAAGGGTGTAAGGCAGGGGGACACAATCTCACCAATGCCGTTTACCGCGTGCTTACAGGATGTTTTCAGAAGCCTAGAATGGGAACAGTTAGGGATAAGAGTTAATGGAGAGTACATTAGTAACCTGCGCTTCGCCGATGACATTGCATTGCTGAGTAACTCAGGGGACGAATTGCAACTCATGATTACGGAGTTAGACAAGGAGAGCAGAAAGGTGGGTCTTCAAATTAATCTGCAGAAAACGAAAGTAATGTGGAGCAACCTCGAAAGAGAGCAGCGCTTCGAGATAGGTAATAATGCACTTCAAGTTTCAAGTTTTATTATTTCCAAAAACAAGGTACAAAATCTAAGATATACAGACGAGGGTCCCAGAGCCAGAGACTTTAGTGGAACCCTCAGTTTGTCGATACAAATCGACGGTACAACTTATACAGAGCAACAGAAAATTTTTTACAATATACAGACGTCAAAGTGCACTTTTATATCACAAATTAAACCAAAACACGCAACATGTTATAAAAAAACTAAGAACAAACGAGTCAAATAGGTAAACGATCACAAGTAAAGTTATTCGAGAAAATGATTTTTGACGGACTTTTTGAACAAAGGAATTGAAGTGCAACGCTTAATGCTAGAAGGTAACGCATTCCAAAAGGATATCGCACTGAAAGCGGAAGTTTTTTGCCCATAATTAGTATGAGCGGGGGGTAACAGGAAATTTTTATCAGCCGCAAACCTAGTCACATTATTATTCTGCAAAAGATCAGATGTAATAAATGGGAATGCGAGTTGATTATACAGCCGTTTGTGGAATAAGGTCACAAGATTTAACCGGAACAAAAGATTTACTGGCAAGATAATGTAAGAGCGTAGTAATGTGTAGGCGTTGGATTGCGAAGAACTAGAAGGGACAATGCGGATTGACCGAATTTGAATGTGCTGTATTGATGATAAATGACAAGCATAAGTGTTGCCCCGTAAGACTACACCGTAAGTAATATGACTATGAATGAACGCAAAATACAGCGCCAGTAGAGCTTCACGGGAAAAGAAAGGGCGAGCTTTGATTAATGCGCGGATACCAAACACTGTCTTCTGCTTAAGATAGTTAAAGTGACTGCGAAAGGTAAGGCATTGGTCAAAATGTATGCCAAGAAAGACGACATCAGAACAAGCAGAAATGGAATGAATACCAAGTTGTATTAAGGGAATAGCAGATAATGACCTCTGAGCACTTCTGAACACCATAAATTTAGTTTTTGGGGTGTTAATAACTAAGTGATTACTGCTGCACCAATTCATAAGGGCACTTAATGCAAGATTTAACTTTGAAACAAGAGCATTAATGTTTTTATCAGATGAAGATATTTTTGTGTCATCATCAAGTTGTAAAAGACTATGTCTACTTAGGGTAGGTAATAATCGCGGAGCCGAACCACGAGATTGAAGTAACTAGAAGAATCAGAATGGGGTGGAGCACATTGGCAAACACTCTCAAATTATGACAGGTAGATTGCTACTATCCTTCAAGAGGAACGTATATAACAGCTGTATCTTGCTAGTACTTATCTACGGAGCAGAAACCTGGAGACTTACAAAGAGGGTTCAGCTTAAATTGAG